GGACATCCAGTACGTGTACCTACATGTCCCCATCAGCATTTCCTATGCTTTGCTGTGGTGCCCCTGCACTGCCAGTTTATGGCCTTGCCCTTCAGTCTCCTTCTCTGTACCTCGTATGTTCTTCCAGGTGCTGGAACCTGAATTTCCCCTACTGCTTTATTGTGATCTCCCATTATAGGATATTAGAATGTCCTCTTGTTGAGGGAACAGTTGGCACAGGCTGTGTCTGACAATGTGGCTTTGAATGTCCGAACACTACAACAGTTCAGATCTTGACTGTTCGAAAATTGCGCTGGAACCAACTCATTATGAATATTTGGGTCTAGTCCTGCACACAGCCCAGTGTTGAACTGCAGAAAATAGGATTTGTGTACTCCATGTATAATCCTCTTATGAGTCCATTAAGGGGCACATGCCCTCACTGTTTATGATCATACCACTACTATTCATGCCAGTAGGAGGGGGGGGTATCATGGGCTGACTGGGTGGAAGACTTCCTTTGTCCCCCAGTGGACTTTTTCTATACTCATGTACTTCCAAATAAAGGCTTAAGTGAGATGTGTTTATCCCAACACCTTTTTAATAGCTGGATAATTCATATTACTTTTAAAAGTCGTTTTGTCCTCACCACAGGGTATGTGCTCGCAACCCCTTGGAGAACATTCAGAATATTGTGAAGGACATCGGGCAAAGGTTTTGCAACCATTACACACAACCAACAGGAGACCAGGCTGGTTCTCATATGGGTGAGCAGTGATTTTAAGAAAACCCAGACATTTTATTGAGATATAGATGGAGATGTATATATAGAGAGAGGGAAAAAAAAATATATGTGGCTCATCTAATCTGTTGCATTTTTGGTTAACACTAAATCTAGCCATACACCTAGAGATTATCTGCAGAGTTTCTATGGTCAGATGGAAAAAGTGCAACAGATTCCTCCATCTACGCTAAACCGTGTGTATGGAGGAATCTCCCAATGGGCCGAGCTTCAGCATCTTGCTAGTCGGCCCTGTTCGCTGTCAAAACACCTGAACAATGCCTGTATCCAATCAGATTGTTCAGGTATTTTGACAGTCAGCCGGGCAGACTTTTTTTATATTGTCAGATTAAAGTATACATTTATAATGCATGCATAGATGTTGAGGTTTTCAGGTGGTTTATTTAAATGTTTGTTTTTCAGATTTTGCAGTTAACCGTTGGAAATTGGCGGAAATTTTATTTTACAAGGTTTTGGAGTCAATAGTTGTCCAAGAAACAAGGCGACTTCATGGGAAAGACTTAACTGTAAGATGGCTTTAAAAAAACATTTGGGAGTTTTTAGAAAATGAGTTTACATTTTAATGTTTAATTGGTCCATTTTCTTATAATCTTAGCATATACCGGTAGTACAGTCCTGCCATAGTGGGCAGTCTAACGTTATAACCTCACCTCAGTCTGGAGGAGGAGTAGTGCCATATTTTTCCAGCAGGTGGCAGTGCTCACTACTGAAACGCCCTTTTTTTACATTCCTGAAATACCTGGTACCGTGTTTCCCTGAAAATAAGACACTGTCTTATATTATCTTTTGGCTCAAAAAACACATTAGGTCTTATTTTCGGGGGTAGGTCTTATTTTTATTTTTTAATGTATAACAATCCAAAGTTAATGCAAATCCAAATTAAATAATCCAAAATGGCAAAGTTAAGAATAGGGTGATCAGGGCCATCAGGGGTGCCATACTTTCCATTCATTGGCACCGCTGATTCTCTCTCGCGGCTCTTCAGGTTTCCCCTTATGCCACCACCAGCGCTGGCAATGGTCACAACTAGGTCTTATTTTCGGGGTAGGTCTTATATTTTAGCAATTCCAAAAAATAGTACTAGGTCTTATTTTCGGGGTAAGTCTTATTTTCAGGCAAACAGGGTAGTATATGTGTGCTTATAGTAGAAATCTCTAACCACTTTAGGTCAGGAGTTTACCTCTTATGGGCCCAAGCAGTGTTCAGCTATGTACCTGTTGCTTTTACCAGTTCCTTTGTCATCACTTATAACGCTGAAGTGATAACTGCAGTATAAAAGATACATATATGATGGTGGATGCAGAAGTGCCATTTGGTCGGCTGAAAGAATCAATGAGCGCTGCGGGGGACCAGAAGGTTTACACTTCTGAAGTGTTAGTCTTCTGAAGAAGTCTTCGGGGGAGACCTTTTTTGGAGCAGTTTTGTATACCGGTAGTTGTGGTGGTGGTTGTTTTTGTTTTGCCCTGAATCATTTGTAAAATCCACTGATCTTCAAAACATTAAGCAAGGACACCATGCTTAACTAAGGTTCCTGGCAGAGGGGAGCTCTTCTGCTTTTCTTTCTGCAAACAGGGCATCTAACCCTAAGGTCTATGTCCCTAATGAATGCTCTAAGAAACGTTTTTGGTGTGTGTGTTTTTGTTTTACCAATTTCTCATTATGTTTGTAATCCAATTTATTAAAATATGCAAAAAGGAAAGGGGTTTTATGAAAAAAAAAGCGATATAGGGCTGCTTGAAACCATTGAGCACTAATAGATGCAAAATAAATGTACGGCAGGTTTATGACCTGCCGTACATTTATTTTGCATCTATTAGTGCTCAATGGTTTCAAGCAGCCCTATATCGCTTTAGTTCGAGCAAGACACATCCTTACTCTGGGACTAGTGGGCATCCCAAGATCACATAAATAGCAGCTTGTAGTGGGAGCTACGATTTTGTGCAATTTGCTCCATAATCTGTTCTTTTTATGTAAATTAGCCAACAGAATAAATTACACTTTTGTTATTGTCTGCAACCTTGCACTGACGCTTTCCATCTTGCAGCCTAAGATATTGTAAAGATATACAAATCTTCCATGATCTGGTAGTCATGATTTGCTGATGGTGTAAGAGGGAGAAGCTGATCAGACAGGTGTTCAGAGGGAACTTTATTTTTTATTAACGATAATGTTGATTTTTGTTCTAGGCTCTATTGGAGCAGGACATTTTCCACCAGTCGCTGGCAGCTTGCTGTCTGGAAATTGTGCTTTTTGCATACAGCTCTCCTCGTATCTTTCCTTGGACCATTGAGGTTCTCAATATAAGTCCTTTTTATTTCTACAAGGTAAGTGATGACATATTAAATGCAAGTTAAGTGAGCAGAGTTCTGTGTTTGTATTTTTTGTCATCTTCTGTATCACTGTGGAGAGAGCTGAAAAACACTTTCATTTTCTAAACTTTTCCTTTACCCAGGTTATTGAGGTGTTTATCCGCTCAGAGGATGGTTTGTCGAGGGATATGGTAAAGCACCTTAACACTATAGAGGAGCAGATCCTGGAGAGTCGAGCCTGGACGAGTGATTCCGTTTTGTGGGAGTTGCTTCGGGCAGCTGAGTCTGTTCCAACCTGTGAAGAGGTAGATGTTGTTTTATGAATCCTAAGTTTTCTACTAGGTTTATGATCTGGTTGGAGAACATGCCTAGTCATTCATCAGCTTTCAGAGATGAGAATCAGATTCTGTCAGCATTATATTATAAATGTTGGCCCTTACTGATTGTGCATTGAAAGTATTGCCAGGACTTTTGCAGTTTTATCTGCTTGATTTTTCTCCTAACTCCTCCTTTTTTATTTTTTCTCTCCAAGATGTTTCTACAACCATTTTCAATTGTTTTGGTTAGTGGTAGAGATCACACTACCTGCTACCCTCCATTCTGCAATGCTGACAGGTAGGAGTGGCAATGCTTATACCGGTGACAGGGGCCTGTTGAAAAGACTTCACAAAGCTGCTCCAAGGCAATGCATGCTTTTTCCTGGCTGGGCATGGCCTTGGAAATGTTTTGGTCTTCATGACAGACCTGTATCTGGCTGGTAAAAACTAAGCAGTGGTCGCCTCAATTGTTTGCCAGCACTAATCCAACAACTGGTATAGGAATGTGCAGCACGACCATTGTAAAATATCAATAGGCTTTGAAATTAGGAAAAGGTTGCAATGAACATTTACAGATTTATTTTTCTCTATCACTAGGTTATCATACCTAGCAACTTTGAAACGGGCAATGAAGCTGGTTTAGGACACCTTCCTATGATGCCAGCTTCCCCAATCATTCATCCACGTTTAAAAGAAGTCCGCACAGATTTTGGAGGTTCCTGTAGGCGAGGTAATTTTGGATTTGGATGAAACATTTTTGTTTCCATTGAATTTTCATGTTGTGCATGTGAAATGGCATTTAATACTTTTTTGTTGCTTTTAAACTGTTTTCTTCATGCCTTAGATTCACAGCCGTTGTCTCCATTGTCCGTTCATGAGAGGTATAACTCTCCTGCTGCTGGGAGCGCTAAAAGGAGGCTTTTCGGAGACGACGGACCTAAAGAATCACCGGTTGAGAGACTCCACACCACCCCAGAAATCACTAGGATCAAAATTATTCCTAGCCAGCCACCTGAGCAAATGTGCATGTCCCCGGACAAAACTATTCTATCTGGACAGAGGTTAACCGTACCTTTAGGAGGTAAATATTGAATATATTGCATTATGCCCTTTTTCTTATGTCAATTTCCTTGTAAAAAGCTTTGGTGTTTTATACTGTCTTGTTTTCCTAATGTTTTTTTCAGGTATTTTTAATGATGGCGGCCGGCCCTCCTCTCCAGAAAGGGAGCATGGAATTCAAATCCCCCTTAGTGCTCAAGCTCTGATCAGCCCATCCACAAAACGGCAGATCTTCCGAAACCAAGACCGGTGCCCCACATCCGCCAGCAAGCCTAAGAGAACCGGGTCTCTTGCTCTCTTTTTCAGGAAGGTGGGTACTAACTGGATTGAGTGACTCTAGTTACAATGAAGTTTTGTAATGGCCTCAATAACGGATGATATTCCTTGCTTACTCCTAGGTGTATCACTTGGCAAGTGTTCGTCTGAGGGACCTGTGTCTAAAGCTCGATCTGTCCAATGATCTGAGACGGAAAATCTGGACATTGTTTGAATACTCCTTGGTCCACTGCACAGAGCTAATGAAAGACCGACATATTGATCAGCTGTTACTATGTGCCGTCTACATTATGGCAAAGGTTTGATCTTTTCTTTCAGTTTGTATTTGCAGTAATAGTGTTTGATACTTTATTACTTTTTTTTTCTGGTGGTGGATCTGTTTGGTTTTTGCTTTGTCCTGTCTTTTAGATTTTCACAACAAGCTAGGAGAAGATTTTTTTTTTCTATGACCTAAGACAATTCTAAATGAGGATATTGGGCAGATAAGATGGTTGCAGTCCACAATAGGAGTAATTGTTTTGCTTTGGATTAGTGTTGTGTACTTAAAGCAGACCTTTACTCTCAAAAATCAATTACAGTGCATCCAGCTATGTATGATGATAACAGACATGTCAGCTGTAAAATGCTGTGATTGTGAAATACTTTCACTTGCAGAGCATTCTCTTTAGTTTGCCAACACAATGCACACTGGAATTTCCTTGTCATTAGCAGAGCATTGCTGGGAAATCTCATCTGAGATCTCCGGGAAAAGTATTTTCCTTCCCTGAGATGTGCATGGTCACATGTCCTAGTCACATGTGCTAGAAATCCGTGAAGTAATAGAGCTAGTAATCTGCCCTTGGTAAACATAGCCACTGTCAGACGACTGGGGAAGAAAAGAGAAATGAGGTATGCAAAGACTAAGCTGGCAATTATCTCGAAGTATCTGTTTGTAGATTGTCTTACTAAACATTTTTAAAGGTGTGTTTGTTATTTTAAAGATATGGGTAAAGGTCTGCTTTGAATTTTTGTGGGGCCACGAATTTCGTCCCGATTCCTGCTGAATCTGCAACAATTGGATGACTGTGTACCCAGCTTTAGCTTATGCAGAGATGTACACCGACACTCCAAAGCAAGTCAATATGCTTATTTAAATAGGCGTACTTGCCTTGGAGTGCCGGTTTCTATCTCTGCATCTATGTATTTTGGCGGTAGACATCCGCTGCACCCATTTCTTCACTGATGGACCAGCGGTTCTGAGTGCAATGGGTATATGGACTTCAGCTTTAGTTTATGGCTCTTCTGCAATAAAGTATTCTTACCAACTATTCACAATCTTTCTCAGAATGTACACTGTGTGAGCATGAGCAGCTTAGGGTACAATTTTTCCGCATATGCCGGGATGAGTGAACTCCCTACCGGATGAAGCGGTCAGTGTCAGAGGGAGTTTGTGGATGTTTCATCACTGGAGGAGGGAAGTTCTGCATCTAAGTAAATGAGATGAGAGCAAAGAGATGAGATGAATTACATGAGACCCTTTTTGTTGTCTTCTGAAGCCCTAAAGTTGATTTTTATATATATCTATAATTTGGCATTATATATATCGATTAATTTTTAATTAATACATTCCTGCATTTGGTGTCCCGTCTGAAGTTCAGGTTTATCGTGTTTCTGTCATAATTGGTATTTCTGATCTTTTATGACCTCACAGATCTCAAAAGAGGAGCGACTGTTTCAGGACATTATGAAATGTTACAGAAATCAGCCACAAGCGCAAAGTCATGTAAGTGGACTCCTTACATACATGTACTACTGTTCTGCCAATTGTTCAGGTTGTAAATCCAGTGTTCAAGTTCACCTTTGTGTGTTTAACATAAATGTGAAAAAATTCTATCTTTTAGGTGTATAGAAATGTATTATTGAAGAAGGCTGCTCAAGTGGAAAAGGATGATGTTGGAGCCAGCCAAGATGTGGAAATGATTGACTGTGGTAAGCAAATAGAAATGACATGTTTTACAATGTTCTTTCAGGTATATTGTACTATGTTTTTATCTCAGTTTTTGTTGTTTGGGCGTGTGCCTTTTTATATATGTAGGTATGTTCTTGTTGGCTATTATGTAAAAATAAATTTAGTTATATGATAGGCAATTCCCAGAGCGTTATGAAGACATTGCCTCCTTGAAAGCATTATTTGAAACTTTTGACTGAGGCTGCCAATAAGATACGGATCACTGATATGGCTATTTCAATTGCCTGCATGCGGCTGTACCTGCCTGAACTGTGGAGCAGGCCGTGATGGATGAAAATAAACAGATATAGATATGTATATAATTCAAAAATAACGCCCAACAAGAAAAATAAGCCAAAACTATCATGGGTTCATCAGGGATATAGAAGAAGTGGGGTAAGGGGGTAAAAGCCCTGCCACTAGGAGGATGGACAATAAGCAAGATGGGCTTCCCTTTTGTGGAATACACCCGGCTTCACTATAGTTTCATTTACATTTTAGTCTGTTTTTAAAACTAAGCGTGAAGGGTTTTATTTTGTATATTATTTAGGACAAGCCCTTGCCTTTTTTGTGTAATTGTTTTCATAACCATTTTCTAATTGTCAGTATCCTTCTCGGATACCTTTCCCTGTTTATAAGTCTGTGTACAACACCATAGCCTATGTGCATCTGTCTGCAATAATGTCTTTGTGTCTCCTTTCTTAGAATCAGATGATTGTGAAAACTTGAGACATGTTGATGATGATGGTACGGCCAACCAAGCAGAGCGAGGAGACCTCATTACATTTTATAACAACGTCTATGTGGAACGGGTTAAGATGTTTGCACTTAAATACGCAGCCAGCAACAGTGAACATCTGGTATGAACTTTAATATCACACACACACACAAAAAATACTTAAATGCCAGGCTATGTTAAAACATGTGCTTATCCATGTATCAAGTAACTGATACAGTTCTTAGTTTTTAGTTTTATAAGATGGAGGGCAAGCTGCTATACATTCTTTATAGTAACTTATCCTGTAAACTCCATCTGAAATTTTGTATCACGATGAAAGCTGCGTGCCCACACCAGCTGCTGAAATTGCTGAGTGAGGCAAAGATCGGATGACTGACTTAATTTTAAATGCATTCTCTCTACTTCTGACCATCTTCCTCTTCTCTGACCATCTTGGCATTCTAAATCGGTGTTTCTCAACCTTTTATAGCCACGGCACCCTTTATCCGCCTCCCGGCCGATGTAGTTAAACGGCCACCCGAGAGCTTCCTGGATGTAACAGGCCGTCAAAAGACAGCCTGTTAGATCCGTCCACTCCCACGCGTCGGGAAGCTCATTTAAAAACAGGCAGCGATGCCTGTTTACATACAAGCGATCCGCCGGCTATAGAGCAGACGGATCGCTTGTATGAGGTGCCGATCGTGTAAACACCCCGGTCAGCAAGTAGTTAAAAGTGTGCCAAATCTTGAGGCACCGCAGTCTAAAATTTAGTAATATGTGGTCTCTACAAAATCCATATCAGACTCTTATCAGAGATAAGGGTCTTGTATGGATTTTAAGGGGGGTTCCCATAAAGAAAAACAAAGTGGGGTTTCCTCTTCACAGCCCCCTTTTTTGACACCAGTCACCCCCTCTCACACTAGAAGAGGTGTCTGCACCTTGTCGTAGTATGAAGCTGTTTTGAGAGGCGCTGCTTTAAGTGGTAACTTTTGATTATTTGTTCTCCAGAGTTCTGGCATCTATTAGGAAATAGGACTTTGTATGAAATAATTGTAATCAATTATGTAATACAAAACCTAGTCAATACTTTTTTTTTGCCTCACTTCCTGCCATGGTGACATTTGTTTCATCAGACTGGAACCCTGTCAGCTTTTTATTGCAATATATGTCCATCTTCCCTGTCTGATGAAGACATTATCACTGACATTAAGTAAGGTGGAATCTCTAATGGAGCCTTGGATTGTATAAAAAATCCAACAGGGGTGCTAATCCTTCACTCTGCTCAAAGATGGGTAGGGGCAATAATCAACAGTTTTCAGGCTTTGCAAATGCTAGCCAAAGGAAAATCACATTCACCAGGTTTTTACCCAAGTATTGAACTGGGTGCTTGCTGAATATTAAAGGTAAATCGATCCCTCCGGTAAGGTTTATATACAGCAGTTCTGACTTGGTGAAACAAAGCATTTGATTGGTATTCCTGTTTATCGTTGGCAAATGCTGCTTTAAACATATTTGGCTTTAATACAGAGCGTCTCTTTCTGTTTTTTGTTTTTATCCCTGTGTGTGTGTGTGTATGCACTATAAATATTTATGTTTTATTAGGTTGCGGCTCCTCCTCTGTCGCCATTCCCGAGCATCAAACAACGACCTGTTTCTCCTCGCCGTGTGTCCCAACAGCACGCCATTTATGTGTCTCCGCACAAGAACACTGGCTGCCTGACCCCCCGCACAGCTCTGCTTTATAAATTTAATGGAAGTCCATCTAAAGTAAGTTCCGCTCAGTCTCCCAATCTATATCAGTATTAGCTTTAGAAAATGGCCCTTGCAGAAGTGATTGGTGGCTTTTATTTAAACCATATCTGGATTTAAATGGGGTCTAATTTCCACAGTTATAATGTACAAGTCAATGGGACTTGTTGAATTTGACCTTTTCAGGAAGTTGGCAATAGCCGCCTCCACATTTTGTAAGTAATGTCGAACTTTTCTTATGCTCATATTTTTACATCTTATGTTGACTGTATTTACAGGTTCACTTTAAGGCCTTCCTCATACAAATGTGACGTAGGGATGCAGCTTAGCCCCACTTGTCACTGGGGGGACAAGATAACTGAAAGCTCTGTCTAGTGGATGAATGATGGAGATATTACTCCTTCGCTGATGGAAACACAGCAGAATTTAAGCCGTCAGCAAGGGAGAAACATCTCACTAGTCCAGCAAGCAAGAGTGACATAGAAGCAGGCAATGGACCATTAGTGTACCCTATATAGTAATCCAGTTGTTTTTTAGTAAGAGGCACTCTAGTGCAGGGGTGCCCAATAGGTCGATCGCGATCTACCAGCCGATCGCAAAGCTAATGCTGGTAGATCGCATGCCTGCTCAACAGGAGGAGAGCGGCAGGGATAGGATAATCAGCATAGTGAAAGAGGAGGCAGCTCTGTATATCTTCATTGTCATGGGAGGGGGCGGGAGTTGTACTGAGCCGGAATGATAGCACACCGGCGGGACTGATCTTTGCAGCTCTGCCAGCATTGAGTTAAGTCTTGGGGGAGCCGCAGCAGCTAAGAGGACCTATCGAGGTGTGAAAGAAAGAGGCAGCAATGCTGACACAGTTTGGGTATTACAGGTAATAGTCTCATAGTTTAGCTCTCTGATAAGTGTGCTATGTTTGACTTTAGGTGGCCGTGCACTATGCAAATTTCAGCCGTTTTTTGATGAACCAGCTCAAAAAAATGTGCACAGTGGGTACCGCTGTCGGCACCCTTTCTGCTGACATCCCTCGATCAGCTGATTGAAGGAGCCATTGGGAAAAAATTTCTACGAACAGAGCTGGTAGCCAATGAGCTGCCGGCTCTGTGTGTAGTGTGACAGCGGCTGATGTCAGAATATAAAGAACACGGCGGGTATTCCTCGATCAAAAGTACTCATAGCATTGATGGGAGGAATCTGCTTTTCCTTTTTCCCATTCAGCCCGCATGTTAAACAAAACAAAAAAAGAAATAGCAGTGTATGGCTAGCTTTGGGCCTGTTCACACTAATACGTATGAACGTACTGTACCATGCAATCACACCTACCCTGTGTTCTGGTGCGGGAGGTGTGTTGCAATGCCATTTGTTGGTAGATCTCATTGAGCTGATCATTTGAAAAGTAGATCTTAACACAAAAAAAATGTCATTTGTTAAAGGGGAAACTTCACTTTTTGCAAAATTATGCTTTTTTAAAGATATTTCCTCCACCCAGCTCAGTGTAGGCCGCATACATACTAAATACTTAAGTCCGACTCCGGAGCTCATTACTGTGCAGCTCTGCCCGGCTGCACACAGCCTTTGCACAATAAAGCACAGCACATACTCTAGTCATTCTGTGAATACTTCCCCAGCCACCCAGAGGATTGTGGACCCAGCCGTTGGAATAAAGAGAGCAGCGCACATGGGCCGCAGGCAAAAGACACGCTCAAAACTCTTTTTGGCAGACCCACATAGTGAAGATCTCTGTAGCGCGGTTGCATACGGGTATTTAGTTGTGTCTTACACTGGGGGAGTGGAAGGAAGCTTAAAGAAACAACTTTATAGAAAGTGAAGTTATCCTTTAATGCCAGATACAATGATGTGCCTTAGTGCTTGCCAAACAGCCTCCACTCACCTTTGTAGTAACAATAGGCATCATACAAGCTTGGTAAAGGCCATTTAACTTGAATGGGTACTAGGCCAGATTCTGAAATTCTGGCCTGGCGGACTTGCTGAACTGAGCTGTGAAAATGTGATCACCATAGAATAGACAGAACCATACTGCTTGGCAAAATGCATATGATTGGAGCAGTGCGCTGGATTTGTGTGCAGCCGCTACGACTTCTTTTTCTATATGAAGCCTAAAGAATCTATTTACTTCTGTGGTCTTTAATTAAGCAACAGGACATAGTGACTGTATACAATATAAAAAGCCATGCCGTATTTATTTATTTTTTTATCCTTCATCTCTTGCTCACAGTTGCTTTCCTTTTTCAATTTTAGAGCCTTATGGACATAAACTGCATGATTAAGCAGGAACAGAGAAGCCGTAAGCGAGCAATAACAATCGACAGCGATTCTGAGTCCCCAGCTAAACGCCGGTGCCAGGAAACCGACGATGCCTTACTGAAACGCCTTCAGGATGTTGTGAGCGAAAGAGCTAACCACTAATGGCTAGAAGTCTGTCTGCACCTTTTTTCTGTACATTGCACTATGTTACAGCCATAAATACTACACTGGGACTTATTTATTTAGGATAAAAAGCATGTTGCTCATAGAAGCCAAATCTTTTAAGTGCCTATAAAGAATAGAAAGGATTTTGGTGGTCATGCCCAACATCTCTACTTCTCTTGTTCTAAAGTTTTTATAAGGAAGCCCCACAGTATTAATAATTTAGTATCATTGAATAGCATTTAATGCCCCGAATGTAAAAAGGTTAAATCTTAGGACATTTTTTGTCTGCCGAAATTGAGTATGATTATATTAATTCTGGTGCTATTATGAAAGCAAGAGCTCCCTGAAGCATCATGGCGGTGGGTGTACCTGCATTAGTGTCAACTGGTTTTTTTTTATCAGATGGATGGATCCAGCCTAAGAGGCCAGCAGTTACCACAGGGGGACTTTTAATTATATTTTTTGCACATTCTACAAAACTTGGCTTTTGTACTTTAAAGGTCAGTCTACCGGTGAACTCCAAGCTCTTTATGGCTGATTTTGTTTTTTCTTCTGTACACATTTGCATGTTTCTGCTCCATGATACAGGAAGGAAAAAAAAGTGGATTATTTTGCATAAGGGTGAAGTTTGTGGGCGCCATCTGTGCACAGCATACACATTTTCCTCAGTTGTATCCCTTTAAGAACGCTACAGGAAACCGCAATACTTGTTGATCTGGAGGAGTCCAGGGAGTTTCTAATGTTCTGTTTTGCGGTGACATGGTGTCTCGTATGTACTGTAATTCTATGCAAGAGTTGTCAGCCCTTCCTGAGTTCTCCCCTACTGGACTACAGTCCTCTTATCTTCCTAACAGGAGGCAGGTTCTGTAGTCCAGAGAACAAATGGTCAGGTCTTGGGATTTCAGTGCTGCAGTGTCACTGTGTCCAGCTCATTACAGAAAGTTGGCGCTCCCTGGTTTTCTGTCGGGATCGACCAGCATTTTTGGTACTTGCAGCCATTTTATAGAGGCAGTACATGGGGAAATATGCATGCATTGCAAATGTTTTTTGTTTCCTGGACATACACTTTAAAAATACACGCTTTTGGAGTGTAGGCATAAAGTTATGCAATGTTGCATAATATGAGTTTTAAAAAGCAAAGCAGCATCCTACATTGCAATGTCACTATGAGTGTATGCAAGCTTGTGTATATACATGGTTTTAGCTACCTATAGTATAGTTTTACAATCCCCTTGTTGATTTGAGAGTGTTCATAAGACACTGTAGCTTTGCCAAGTACATCCGATATCTATAGATGACAAGTTGTTTTTTAGATTGGAGCCAAGTATGTTTTTATTAAAAGCGAGTATTTTAGTCTTCTGCAGCAAACACTTTGCCCATTTTATATTCAGCTTTTTTAACAGTCTCCTCCTCATGACAAGCTCATTTTACTGTGCATCTAAAGCTAGACAATGTTGTGTAGTATCTACACATTCCTTATTTTTGTAACTTTTTATGAGTTGTACATAATGAAGTGCTTTATTCTGATTCTTACATGGAGTGATATCCTAAAGACTCCTGTAAGGGTCCCAGGTTTCTTTGTGTCATTTGCACACATTTGTATAAATGTACAATAAACACTTCCTTCCTTTTCGTTCTGCTGTTGTCTGTTTTTATGAATACTCATTTTGTATGTTTTGAGGGATTAAGGTTGTTTGTGTCTATAAGTAATGAGTGTGGGGACGGTAGGGTGGTGTGGTTTGCCTGGTTTTGAGTCCTTTGGAACATGATTAGTCATGAGCCCAGGTAAGGGGGAGCGATGTGCAGGTCACTGGCTGCCTAGCAATGTGTATGCATGCGACCAGGTTTTTTCCATTTGCACCTGCAGTCCCTGTATCTGATCTGCCCGTGGCCTTTGAGCCCTTCGTTCCTGAGACTGTGAGTCAATTACCAGATTAGCTTGCCTCCAAGAAGTTTGTCTTCTGCCATAACTCCCAAATTATAAGACCATTTTGGCTCATATTGATGTGATGCACACCACTTGGAAATTTGTCGGTCACTCAAGAGTCACAAAGGGAGGGTGACTGACTGTTGCTGATCAGAGGGCAGGCTCCATAAAGAGAACCTGTTGCCTCCAATTGCCTTAACATAGGGACTTGTTAGCCCCTCGTGATGACAATAAAGTTTAAGTGAAAAAAAAATCCAACCCTGCTGCCCCGTCATCTGCATGGGAACAAACGCACGCATAGGGCATTGTGCTGCCCCTATTCCACTGTGTGCCATATTGTGGTAGCTGGGCAGCAGCGCTTTAACTCGCACAATGTGCATTTAAAGGTTAAGTTCACTTTCCCATGTAATAAGTCTGCTCTGCCTTTGCTTTCCACGTCCCTCTATTCTCCTGCATTTGCAGGTGCTGGATGTAATCTAATATCCAGACTGTCAGGTGAGTGGACCAAAAACTGACAAATAGGTTTGTATAATTGATACATATATATTCTGTATCAAATGTATTATTTGATAAAGTTGAATATGATGCAATTGTCCAATTGTATGGATTTAGAGGACTTTTTACACCAGGATTGTATTGCCTATGGTATCAAAGTACCCTATGTATATGTAATCATGATGCTTGTCATTTCACTAGATTGCAACAAGGTGGATATGTGTACTAATGATTTTATTCAGACATGAGTTTGTAAAGTTTTTTTGGCACCTAAAATGCCGCATTTGTTCTGTTTTTATGCAATTCCCAGGGGTGTGGTGCCAGGCTCCTACACCTTTCACTCTCCCTGCATAATATATTGCTGTTGGGAAAATTGAATTACCCACTTCAATCTGGCCAACTCCCCTCCGCTATACTTGCCTTTCGGCGAGCAGTGCTCTCTGCCACTATCGGTGTACTATCGCCGTCCAGTGCAGACTCACTATGGATTTTGAATTTCGCTGGCAAATTGCACAATGTAACAAGAAGCGCTTCTTGTTAAAATTTAGTTTAAAATTAATTTTTTGCATGACAAGTAGATTGTCATGAGGGACCAGTGGATTGGGCCCCCGCTTTAGTCCTTGGACAAGTTTTTTTTTTTTTTTTTTTTTTTTTCAACACCCCCTGCTTGTGTAAAGGGTTAATTGCTCAGTTATCCTGCCCCAGTGACACACTCAGTCTGCTGGAGGTTGAATTATTGCCACACGCGTTGGAAAATCTGTGCGCAGGGTGGAGTGTAATCACACAAAGGACGTTACCTCGCTGACTCCTTCCAAAGCAAATGTTTTTATATTATGCAGCTAAAAATACTTTCGCGCAGGTAAACTCGTTGTTTTTTTGGTTCCATTTACTGCAAGTCCTGTAACGTGGGGAGGGAAGTTGAGCATCCAAAAGATTCTCATGGGAGACCGTCCGCTCCAGAACATGTCACGTCCTTAAAGGAGTTGGAGTCCCAGCATCTCATATCCTGTTATATCATCAGCATTGTGATAGGAATATTATGTCATGTATTTCATAATACAATCAAAGCTTACTTGAAAAAAATCCATTATTATGTAGTGAGCCTTCTGTCTGCCCATCACTTTCACCAACTTCCTGGCTTACCAGTGCGCTTTGCATCACTTTCGCTGCTGCTGGATGTGATGCAATCTCCATTTGCCAAGACTACATATCCCATCATGCATTGCTTCCAGCAAGCAATGATAATGTTGTGTTGTTCAGACGGCAGGATTACTTGGAGTGGTGACGCAAGGAAGTGTATAGTCACTGGGCTGAGTGAAATGGTGTCACTGCATTGAGGAAGTCCATCCTATGGGCATCTTCAATAAGTAAGTTTACAAACTTTTAGGTGGGTGTGGTTATTAGGAGTGGGATAGAATTCAATATAGAAATACAGATTTAGTTTCTTTACCATAGATACCCTTTAATTCCACATGTAGATCCATGTAGATCCAGATAAAACCAAGTTCTGTGCCAATCGCACAAAACAAAAGCTTACATTAAAACATTGTAACTGTAACACTGCGTATCCCAAAAAAGCCCCCTCACCGTCCTCGGTCATGGCAAAGTTTGGAGATTCATTTGAAAAAGCTGGTCCTGCCTGTGAATGTTACCATGATGGAGGACCCTGAGGTGGCACTTTTGGGATCTGCAGTGTTGTAGTTGTGTTATGAAAGTGACCAGTGACTGCACTCGGCGTGAAGGAGTACTGAAATCACATAGACCGGCCTATTCACAATCTAGGACAACATATCTGAAATGGAAAGTGACCAGAATTAGAGAATTGTTCCCAGTTCAGCTTTGTTGTCCTAGATCAGGGGTAGACAACTTGGCACTCCAGCTGTTGAACTACAAGTCCCATGAGGCATTGCAAGACTCTGCCAGTGATGGGCATAACTCCCAGTGGCACGGTGGGATTTGTAGTTTCACCACAGCTGGAGTGCCGAGGTTCCCTATCTCTGGCTTCTTCAAACTCTTCACCCTTTTTCTGAATAACTCTGGTCATATTGTCTCATCTTCCTTGAAGTGGTGTAGGTGGTTACCATTGGGGTATACTAGAGGTAGGTGACCTTGGCCCTCCAATCGTTGTGAAACCACACTTCCCATCATGCATGTGTCTGTCAGTTTTGCAATGCCTCATGGGACTTATGGTTTCACCATAGCTGGAGTGCTAAGGTGGCCCACCCCTATAAGAAAGGGAAGTTCCAGAAACAAAACAAAAACATTGTATTTTCCTCTCTTCTCACTTTTTTTTTTTACCTGCTGTCTGTCCATTTCTAACCGATCTCAGTACCAGGGCAGGAGGAGGTGGAAGCCGAATGTCTATAGACCTGGGGTAGGCTACCTCAGCACTCTATCTCTTGTGAAACCACAACTCCCATCATGCCTCTGAGTCCTGGGACTTGTAGTTTCACTACAGCTGGTGTTCTGAGGTTGCCTGCTCCTGTGGTATACTTGGAGTCCTGTAGTGATCTGAGATGTGACTAGAATGCACAGTGTGGGGAAGCTGGTCTTGGACATGCCCAGAAATGTCAAATCCTGGAGTCTGCAGAGCTGGAACAGAGACAAGATTGATGAAGTGGACTACTGGAGAAGTTATACCTCAGGGAACTTCAATCTGCATTTTATTTTATCAAGGACTGATGAAAGGCCAACCTGAGCGATAACAACTATCCTCTCCTACAAAACCTTGCAGGGTGGGTGTTCTGTAGTCCACAGAAAGAACTGGAACCAGTGCAGAAGAGGCAGAAAGAGGTTTTCAGCTCTGGCCGAACCAACAAGTCATGTCTATGCGATAACAGTATATAACCATGATAATTATAGATATGTTTCCATGGGGAGGTGCTCAACGCGTTTTGTGGTACTGCCGCTTCTTCAGGAGCTTATGGACGTACAGTATAATATAAAGAGAAGCATTATCAGTAACTCTTAACAAGATAACATTGATATGTCTATCATGATTATATATTAATGATATCGCTGTCTGCAGGGTCAATAGCTACAGACCTCCAAACTTCGTGTGACCTTCAGATTGGCACAACAACAGTGCGTAGAGAGCTTCATGGAATGGGTTTCCATGGCCGAGCAGCTGCATCCAAGCCTTACATCACCAAGTGCAATGCAAAGCGTGGAGGGTCTCCGGAGGGCTGTGTGATCTCGGGTGGGCTATGTGGGGTTCTGTGGAGGGTCTCAGGTGGGGCTGTGCGAGGTCTCACCAGGGGTCCAAAGGGTCCCACCAGGAAGGAACAGGGGATGTGTGGGCCATCGCTGTATACAGGTACCGCGGTTCATAGGAAGGCTGCCAAGGTAGGGTTGCCACCTGTCCAGGATTCACCCGGACAGTCCGGGTTTTGAATGCTGTGTCCGGGTTTCATGGCAACTGAAACCCGGACACAAGATGTCAGGCAGACAGGGGCAACCAAAATTAAGATAGGGGCTACTGACCCCCCACTGAAAATAGTCTCAACTGTGATATTTACATATGAATGGGCGGCGCTATTTACATATGAATACGGCACGACTCATTCTCCCAACAAAATGTCTGCGCATCGATAGAGTATTTGGGTCTCGCTGGAAGAAAAGGTGGCAACCCTATGCCAAGGTCCCAGCAAGAGTGGGCACTCAGAGTCAGACAGCCACTTCAGTTTATACATTTAAAGTGCCAGGATCAGCATTTAGTATCAGTGCATTTTTACGAGTACTCATCATGAAAATGGCCAGTATTGGCACCTCTACCGGTAATGGTGCACCCCTATACTGTTTGTGTGTGTACTGTAATGTTTCATTTTTTAAAAATCCACCAACGTGTTCTTGAGGAAGGAACCAGTGAAAACAAAATACACTGCTATACAGATGAAACTCGAATAATTAGAATATCGTGCAAAAGTAATTGCAGTAAGTTCTGCAAAAGGGGCCCAAACCAAGTACTGAGTACATATGCATGCTTGTACTTTTCAGAGGTCCGATATTGTTCTATGTACAATCCTTGTTTTATTGATTGCATGTAATAATCTACTTTTTTGAGGTTGTGGATTTGGGGTTCTTGGGGTTTTCATGAGCTGTAAGCCATAATCATCACAATTATGACAAATCACGGCTTGAAATATCTTGCTTTGCATGAAATGAGTCTCTCTCATATATTAGTTTCACCTTTTAAGTTGCATTAGTGAAATAAATTAACTTTGCACAATATTCTAATTGAGTTTCACCTGTATGGTCTCCTCCGTCCGTCCAGAGCTCTATGGTCTCCTCCGTGCTAGTCCCCGGGCTCTATGGTCTCCTCCGTGCTAGTCCCCGGGCTCTATGGTCTCCTCCGTGCTAGTCCCCGGGCTCTATGGTCTCCTCCGTGCTAGTCCCGAGTCAGCTTGCTATGCTCGCTCGAACTCTTTCTTCTTCCCGCCGGCACAGACCGCGCTTGCGCGGCAGCCAGCTGGTGAGCTCATGTGGGGGGACGCCCAGTGACGTCACTAGCCGGGTTTTATTCTCTATGTCTCCCTTCAGTCAGCATTCGTCGCTGTGAAAATGAACAGCACCAAGCGCGGGCGGGACGACATCTCCCCTGTGCGGGAGCACGGGTACCTGACACCCGAGAAGCGGTCGAAGACCTTCCCCGGTCCCTGCAGCGGGGACTACAGGGACTGGAATGTGGAGGAGGTGTGCGTCTTCCTTGCCAGCAAAGGCTTGCAGAAGTTGCAGCCGGTCTTCAGAGGTAAAGCGGCTTCGAGGTGTCAGCTCAGCTGCACTATGTGTGTCCAGTTGTAGGGGGACTATAAGTGCCAGCGTGTCCTGCTGAAGGGAATGGTGCAGCTGGAAAGGCGGCTGATGTAGCAGCTTCCATATTCAATGTATAGTGCCCATGTGGCTGGCATAATGTGCTGCACGGTCCGCACCAGACTGAGGTGACCCCCCAGTGTCATGCAGCAGATGTCACTGTGTGTCTTCAGTGTCTGCCAATTATGGCACTCGGTGGTGGCACGGGGGTCCCGAGCGTCACACTGAGGTCCCCAGCGTCACTGTGAGGCCACATGGGGGTCCCCTGGTGTCACACTGAGGTAGCACTGTGGTCTCCGGCAGCGCTGAGGTCCCCAGTGTCACTGTGCGGCCCCATGGTCTTCCCGAGTGTCACTCTGAGGTGACACTGTGGGTCCCCAGTGTCATGTGGAGGCATCACTGTGGTTCCGTGCGTCCCTCTGAGGTATCATGTAGAGTTGCAGCTATCGATTTATTTTCAAAATCGAATAGTTAGCCCATTATTAAGTTTGGTTAATCGGATAAAAAATTTAAAAATGGCTCCCAGTGATGGGACTACTAGTTTGTATTGAGATTGTTGTCCATCACAAGAGCAAGCTTGGAGCAGGGGAAGTAAAAAAAAAAAAAAAAAAAGTGGTGTGCAATATAGTGAAATGGAAAGTGTAAAATTTATACAGCAATGGATGCAGAATGGCACCGGCCATAGAGGACTACAACAAATCCCACCAATAGTACATTATAGCTGGCGGTGTTCTGCATTGCGCTGTGTAATGTACTATTGCTGGGATTTGTATTCCTCTATAGCTGGCGTTATTCTGCATTGCGCTGTATAATGTACTATGGCTGGGATCTGATGTATTCCTCTATATCGTGGATTTGGGCAGGAGGTGCAGCGTGTGGATGCGGGCGGGGGGTCTGGCAGCGACGAGCGTGGGGAGGAGGCGGTGTGGCGCGCAGCGTGTGTGGAGCCGTGAACCGGGCCATCCAATTGGAAGCCGATTAATCGATGATTGAAAAAGTTGACAACTTTTTCAATCATCGATTATGTCGATTAGTTGTTGCAGCCCTAGTATCATGGAGGTCCCCAGCTTGATCTTCCACTGCATTCCAGATTTAACTGATGTTGGACAGAAAATGGAATCCAAGTTGATATTGAACAATGAGATTGTCAGCAAAATGTCGGCTGTGCACACATCACAACCACACACACACTGATCGACTGACCGTTCCACTTAAAGCGATCACATTGGCCTCGAGTTACATTATTACGTGCGGATCCTTCAGCGTTTGTTTAATAATTTTTGAGTAAGAGCAGACAATCGTATGTTACGTTTTTGTTTTTTTTATATATATCTCTTACCTGAAAAACGACAGCGGTGAGAACGGTTACATTGTATCTTCTTTTTTAATCTTTTGCCTGTTTAAGGTTTTCTGTTTATTTGGGGCTGTTTTTTAGGTGGTCAAAAGGTGGGGGAAGGGGCACAGTGCTGCGTTTATATATATTTTTTTTAGTTTAGAATGGGCTTTCATAGCGTTCCAGGGCGTTTGCATGCGTTTTTGATGCGTTTGCATGCTTTCCAGAGCAGGTAAAATAGGACTTGCTGCAGTTTTTTTTTTTACATGATCTGGTTTTGATCCGGTCTGTTCTGCTCCTGGAACGCGCTTGGTGTGAACAAGGCCTAAGAGGACCTGGAATACTCCCGTCTCTTGAATGTCGCCCGTCTATGCTGTAGTGATGAGAAATGCCCGTCTAAGGATCACTACTGTGTCTGTAGGGGCCTGCAGAAGGAAACGCGTCAGCCGACGGATACCAGGTGGCCAATATTCTGGAAGTGCCTCGTTCTGCAGGATATTCAGCCGGGGTTTCCCTTTACTATTTCAGAGACAGGTGGTGCAGGCAGCGGGAGGGGGTGAGTATTCCATACTTTTTTTTAAAGAAGCACTTCAGGAAAATCAAAAACTTTCCCTTCCAGTTGGGCTGCACCCCTGCACTGCAAAAGTTAGGTGCTGGTTTTGTCTAGAGGGCTCAAATAATGCAGATTTACTTACCTGGTTCTCGGCCCGTCAGCATTCACCCCTCTCCCCATCTGCTCTGGCTTTCTCTCGGCGTCCTCACATCTAATGCAAGTCTGTGGACCTGCATAAGACCTGTTGGTGTCAGCGGTCCTTAGACCACCAGAGCCTGGGGGAGAAGAACCTGCAGTGACCGGTCTAGCAGAGCATTGGGATTGAGGATCAGATAAGTAAAGCTGGTTTACTTGAGCTTCTCTATACAAAACGAACACTTAACCCTTGCAGTGCTGGGATTCTGACAGGGCCCAGCAGTGCCCCTGTAATAAAGTGTAAGCAACCATGGAGTACCGAGAGCACATGTGATGATGAACCCCACCTGGTCGGGCTCACAGGAAATGGGCAGACTGCCGACGCAGGACTGAGCAGAAATTCAGGGACTGCACTGTAGCGTGGAGAGGGCAAGTTAATATTGGCACAATTGGCATTTTTTGGGCAGCACACCGCACTGCTTTGCATGGACCCAAATTGAGTGCACAGTTTGTACAATCCCAAATAAGTCAAAAGAAAAAAAACATTAAAACAGTGACAGCGCCAGCAGTGTGCAGTACATCGCATACCGCCAGACCTGTCACAACACACTAGCCCGTCCGCTAAAATGCTCTTACTCTTACTGTAATCCATGGTTGTTTCCCTTCTCTTTGCTGCTCTTCCTTTTTAAACCTGTATCTGTTCTCATGCTGGGCAGAACTTCTGTTTTGCAGCAGACTGCCTTGTCTCTGAAATGGATACATGGTGTCTGTGTGTTGGTTTGTAACCTTAGCCAGCACTAGAGGAAGAGGCACTCAGCTGCAAAGGGAAGTTCTCCCCCAGCATGAGAAGACATGAGGATTTAAAAGGAAGAGCAGCAAAGAGAAGGGGAAACAACCATGGATGACCGTAAGGCGCACATTACAGTATTGTTTTATGTTAAAAAATCTGAGGGTTTAATGTCACTTTAATAGAAATGTATGTTATTTGGGTATCACTCGGTGGTAGATCCTCAAATCATCTCTGAATTGGTGCTGACACTGTCCTTCCTTCTGGAGGGTGACTACATTTGTTCCCCATGGCCCCTGTGTGTTGTGAAGTAGTCGCTGCTCCAAGCTCACTCCCAGAATGGACTACAATCTCGGTACAGATTACTAAACCAAACATGAGCCAGAGTTTGCAGGGAGAATTTCAAGGTGAGGTCATTCCAAGGCTTGTTTCAAAACTAGATGGAAACCAACCAAAGTCTTTCCAAAATCTAGCCCAGAAAGCCTTAAAGGAGAACTCTTGAGGAGAGTGACAATCACCCAGCCTCATAGTTGGAGCCGACGTGTGACAAGGAAACTGTCACATGTTGGCTCTATTGATCGGGAAGTGAGCGAACACATACCGTCGCTCGCTCACTTTCCAATCATCTCCCTGCAGAGAATGTTGACTGTCAGTCACTTCCCCACAGGGGTTCCCCTCTCTGATCCTCCAGCACTGGCTGGAGGAACGGACAGGGGAGGGGGCGGGCACAGCTGGCTCTGTCTCTAGATTGACAGCGGGCTCTGCCTATCAGCCAGCTGGGTGGATCTCGGCTGCGGCGCTCTCAGTATATAGCAGGCAATAGCTCGCTATATACTGAGGTTTGGGTCACTGGAGGAGGTTAGTATATGTCCTCCCGTGACCCTATAGAGAAATATAGGATAAAAAAAGGTTACCCCATAGTTCTCTTTTACAAACAAGAGAATGAAAGAAGATCAGTTAACTCCTTATTAGGTGCTGTTGTGTGCAGCCAACCTATACGTCTTTTGTGCCTTCATCCAGAGCCCTAAGGGTGCCCAGAGATGACATAAAACCTTATAGATCTCATAGCTATTGGGGCACCAGATGCCTGCCAGCTAGTCCTTGTCTGCAAGAACATTTCATTGGGTAGGATAGTTTAGGCTAGCATGTACCATAGTAGCGATTAATCACACAGTGCTCCCAGAGGTGATGAATTGCTACTGAATACTCTTGCTTGGCTTACGCTAAGCTAACTACCGCACTCCCTAGTTTGTTTTTAATCAGGAAAAGATTAGTGTTCAGAATGCAGTTACCCCAAATTACCTGATCATCTTTCATTGTTCTACCTGTTGTTAATGATGTAACCAGGGGAGCTATGGAATGTTATGTTTTTATTCACTGTTCATGTCCATTCGTGGCCCCGCTCAACACTCATTTTGTCATCTCTTTTCTTTGTCTTTGTTGGCTCTAGAACATGGAATAGAAGGAAAACACCTGCAAGACCTCACAGAAGAGCACCTCAAAGAATTTCAGATCAGGTGAACAGTTTTCTTTTTGTGTTTCAGATGATACGTGAATCATTTTTCCTGTTTGCAGTAGACTCATAGATGTTTGGCATGGACTTTTCGGTGAGGTCGATACTGGCAAAAGTATATTTGCAGAATTTCATGTCATTGTATGTTAATGGTGATGATTTCGTCTTCCTAGCATTAGACTTAGGTTTACATCCTGGACTCCTGTTCACCCTGCCTTGTGATGCAGGTATCCCTGCCAGACTGCTCAGACGGGTTGATGAGTATATTTTTCTCTGCAGTTAATGCAGCTTTGTCAAAGAAACAACACACACCTCCTTCCTTCTCTTTTTTTTTTATTTTTGTATTTTTTTTTAGAATTTGCACAACCAACACAGTGGCAGGAGTGCTAGGCAACCTATTCATTCTGAATGGGCTGCACCGTGCTTCAATACAGCAATAGGTACCATCTTCGTTTTATGCAGTATACAGGGCACCGTGTGTTGCAACACATGTTTTGAAGGTGCCAGGGGTGCAGTTCACAATAAATGGCAGCCCCATTAAGGCAACAAAATTGATGTGAATTGGACCTAAAGAAGTACTTCATTTTGTGAGTAGTCGCTCCAAGGGTTAAGGTGCCCACACACCTTATAATTCTCGTTCGATTTTCTTTCCTCCCGTTGTCCGTGTTCCACTCGAATACCCCATCATGCACAGACCAATGTGGATTTCGATTATCGTTCGTTATCGATACTAGCTGACCGAATTTTGGGCAGTTGTACAGTAATTCTGATTGTTCACTTCCAATCAACTGGCCGATTATCGCACGAAAACCTGATCTCGTTCAGAAATCGAACGATAACCGTAAGGGGTATGGGCAGCTTTAATGTGACATCACTGTGCACCAGAGCTTGTCTTTAATATCAGGAATGCTCTGTTTCTGAAGCTCGTTGTACGCGAGATCATAGGAAGCTAACATAAAGCCGGGGTTTTGTGGTTGTGGGTTTTTAAAAAAAATTAATAAACAACTGCTGAACAGGGAGGTGTAATCTGAACACCTTTAGGAAACCAGAGCGGAAGGCAGCAACTGGACCTACAAGTTCTCTAAACAGCCTGATTTACTTTTTCCCCCTGGTAGCCGCTGGCCAGCTCGGCACACCCACAGCCATGATATTATTGCTACACACTGCCACATTATTGCCACACACAGTTCAGATGACTGATCCCTTTTCTTTGAGTACCCTAGAAGTTGTTTAGAGCAACATTTTTCTTAACCCTTGCAGTGCGGCTAACCCCAGCACTGCAAGGGTTAACTGCTCATTTTCCTCTAGGGACTAAAAAAAAAGTTATACTCACCCAATCCCCAAGCTGTCTTGCTCTTAGACCACTCCTTCCAGCCTCGATTCACCATATGCTGTATTGGACGTGAGGGCACCGAGGGACATACCATCGCAACAGCATACAAGAGTGAGCGCTGTGACAGCCGTCCGGCTCCAAAATAAGGGCAAGTCTCACTTTTTTTTTTAATATTCACCCCTAGACAAAAACTAGCAGTTAACCCCTGCAGTGCGGGGGTAGCCACATTGCAAGGGTTAAGAAATTTAACCGGCATTGTTCTGTAAAGTAGCTAGAAACCCAATCCAATGATTGCAGAAGCCATCATAAACTTATAACAGTAGGGTGAATGCAGCTGACATATGGCATACTGACCTGGCCAGTTGGAAGCAGTAGTGTTGCGTTGCATGCCTTAGATCAGCGGCAGCAAAAGAGTTAAGCAAACGTTAAGTTTAAACCTAAGAACAGAAAATTTCATTTTTTGGCTTCCTCGTCCTTACATGTGGTGGCTGCATTAGTTTTCTTTCTTTTTTTTCTCCTCCAAAAGTCCTCCGTTCAAGGCGTAAACATGCATCAAGTAGGCTGTGTGGAACAAAAGACCAAAACCACATTTAGATCGGGTAATTGATGGTGTCATTTTGTTGTTGTGGTTAGATCATTTGTACTTGCGGCTGGGAGCACACTGCCAGGCCTGCCTGACGTGTTTCATCCCAGAGGGCAAGCCTGGTAGCAAGTCCCCAGCTGCAAGTGCAGATGATCTATCTGGAAGAATGAAACCACACAAATCACAGGATCCCAATGTGCTACAGTTTTGGACTTTACACGGCCCACTTGATGCATGTATACTCCTTGGATGGATGGCTTTTTATGTGCAATGAAATACTGACATACGAGTCCCCAAACGGTGAGAATACCTTTATGGTTTCTGATGCTGAAGTTTATAATGCGCACGCGCACATTGCCCGTTCAGCATTACGGTCATCGGAAGCCCGCCCCTCGGGGGGTGGGCTTGCGATGATCGAGAGTACGATCTGCCTGTCCAAGATGGGCAGATCCTACGTTTTTTTTTAATTTACAATCATCGGTTGTAAAGTGTATAGCCACCTTAAGGCTGTGGGGTTATTGGCACATGGAGAAACCCATATGCAGCTACATATTTGCTGCTTTTTGCATGAGTCTTGCACAGTATCAAAGATGGCCGCATCGCCATTGAGATTTCAGTCTTCATTTTGTATACAAGGCAGCTTGAAAGTTCAGTTTGAGAAGTGCTTTCACTGAAGACTTAACCTGCATACTTTTAGGATTGCTAGCGAATCAGCACCAGCCAAATTTGGATATTTAAAGACGCTGGTTGGAACATGTGAGGAATCAAGCTTTGCATTGTCAAGCTTTGCATTGTCAAGGTGTATCGCCATTCTTGGATGGATTGCAATCATATACACTGATCAGCCATAACGTTATGACTGCTGAGAGTTGAAGTGAAAAACGTTGATTATCTCATTACAATGGCACGTGGAAGTGGGGGGATATATTAGGCAGCAAGTGAACATTTTTTTTCCCTAAGGTTAATGATTTGTTGGAAGCAGAAAAAATGGGCAAGTGTAAGGATTTTAGCAACTTTGACCAAATTGTTATGTCTGGATGACTGGGTCAGAGCAACTTCAAAATTGCAGCTCTTGTGGGATGTTCCTGGACTGGAGAGGTCAGGATCTACCAAAAGTGGTCCAAGAAAGGAAAACCGGGGACAGGGCCATGGGCAGCCAAGGTTTTTTGATGTGCATGGGGAGCGAAGGCTGGCCTGTGTAGTCCGATCCAATAGAAGAGCTACTGTAGCTCAAATTGCTGAATATTAATGCTGGTTCCAATAGAAAGGTGTCTGAACACACAATGCATCGCAGTTTGTTGTGTATCCGCAGACCAGTCAGGGTGCCCATGCTGACCTCAGCCCACCACCAAAAGCACCTGCAATGGGCACAGGAGCATTGAAAGAAGGTGGTCTGATGATTCGCGTTTACTTTTACATCATGTGGATGGCCGGGTGCATGTGTGTCACTTACCTGAGGAAGACATAGCACCAGGATGCACTTTGGGAAGAAGACAAGCCGACGGAGGCAGTGTGATGCTTTGCGCAATGTTCTGCTGGGAAACCTTGAGTCCTGCCATTCCTGTAGATGTTACTTTCACATGTACCACCGACCTAAACATTGCTGATGACCAAGTACACCCCTTCATGGAAATGGTATTCCCTGTTGGCAGTGGCCTCTTTCAGCAGGATAATGCCCCCAACCTCAATGGGTCAGGGCCGTTTTGACAGCAAAAGGGGGACCTACCGAATATTAGGCTTGTGGTCATAATGTTAGAGCTGATTGGTGTACGATTTGTAGTGGGCTAAAATGTTCTATGGCTACAATTGAAATAAAATATACTGTTATCTAAAATAATAATTTAGAGATGTGTACACATAAAGGAGAAGAAAATATTTATATCAGAATTACATTTTGGGTAACGATGTTCATGCAGTCTGTGTCCCTTTTACATCAGTGGTTCTCAACCCGTGTAACCTCGGGACCCACATGTTTCCTTGGTCATTAAGGCGTGACCCAAAAATGATTTCATTTCTGAAACATTTAAATTTATTACACAAAACAACTTGTGCAGTATTCAGCAATATATATTTTGCTGAAAGTAAATGAATTTAAAAAAATTAAAAAGTTTATAAAGAATAAAAATTAAATATTTAAAAAAATTAAAATAAAAACGTGTGGGGGTGGCGGTTGCGGGGTACAGTTCCAGTGGATGTTTATATAATGGGGGGGGGGGGGGGAATGTCTGCCCCGGGCGCCCATAACTCTGGTTACGCCACTGATACTGATGGACATTATGTGGGCTTGGAATACATAATGTCCATCAATGTACCCTGTCCTAATGTCCCCTGTCAGTGCAGAACCTGGAGGGGGTGGTGAGGGTGTCTGTATGGGGAAGGGGGGGCATTAGCAGGGGCACCACGGCAGGTTCTCTACTAAGCCCCTGCTAATGCCCCCCGAAGCTTCTGCATTGACAGGAGACATTACGACAGGGGACACTATTGGATATTATGTGGGCTTGGAATACATAATGACCATCGGTGTCCCCTGTCATAAAGTTCCCTGTCAGTGCAGAAGCTGGGGGAGGGGTGCATTAGTATAGGCTCTGCTGCAGGTAAAAAAATTGCAGCGGAGCCCCCTGCTAATGCCCCCACCCCATACCCTCCCCAGCTTCTGCACTGACAGAGGACAATATGACAGGGGACACTGATGGACATTATGTATTCTGAGCCCAGTCTGTGTAATAACATTAATTGTGTATTTTATTAACATACATTATGACAGGGGACAGTGATGGATATACATGATGGATATTATGTGGGCTTGGAATGCATAATATCCATCAGTGTCCCCTGTCCTGCCACAGTGCACATCTCCCTATCTGCCTGCCTACCTTTCTCTGATTCCAGCCGACTGAACTATCTGGACTGGAGAGTACAGTAGATACAGCGGCGGATTGATATCTGCTGTACTCTCCAGTGCAGGCCGGAACTATAACTTAATTGTCGGGAGACGCGGCTCCTGATATTATTGCGCCGGCCCGAAAGTGAGGAAATAGTCCCCTCTCTCCCCGGGCCATACCACTTTATCTGAGAGCCCGGGGGAGGCCGGGAGAGAGGGGACAGTTTGACATGAGGTTCCACAGGCTGAACCACAAATTCTCCCTCTCTATTCAGTCTCAGGCCGGTCTATTCAGACATGACGCCGCGACCCACTGCAGAGGGTGTCGCGACCCACGAGTTGAGAACCACTGCTTTACATGACATATGTCATGAATGTCTTGCCTTGTTTGTGCATTTTACTTCATTAAATATTTTTTTTTTTGTTTCCCCTCAAACCAGGGCCATAGGAGACCGATTGAACTTGCTGCGCTGTTTTAGGACACTGTTCCAAAATTCACAGAGTATTATGAAGGTAGGTCACTTTATTAAGCTTTTCATGTACCGCACCACAAAGTAATGTGCAGGAAAGGCAGACAAGTCAGAAATACCTTTTTTCTGCAGTCCTTGAGTTCTTTTCTCTGGCATTGATAGTCATGTGATCTAACGGTGCCATTATGTCACATAATTTTTATTGTACTAGAGAATCCGAGTGCCATGTACTGCCCACCCCTCTAAAGAGGAACTTCACCCCGACCCCATATTATAAGTGGGTAACCCCCCCCCATGTTGCTTGGTTTGCTGGGTTAACGACAGAAAACATACCCCCCGGCCAGTGAATCTAATGTTGTCTGGCTGCGATACGCTTAACTGCTACAGCCCGGTTTGTCTCTTCCCTTCTGGGTTGTTGCAGCCAGCTCCTGATGGACTGCTAGTCTACCCTCCAGCTGATCTGTCTCTGCTCCCGCAGCTTCCTGGGGTATGTGACTGGATCATCCCAGGAGGAAAATATTTTTTTTTAACTTGTGGAGGGCTGTAAGGAGGAAAATACAATTTCTATAGTGAAGGACCTCTAAAAAGGTGTGGGGGTGGTGTGGCGGCTGAATGATGGATGTGATTCTTGGCCTTTTACTGCCTATTGGTTCCTGTGCCAAAAGAACGGTCCAGCTGTGAGGACTGAGCACTGTCCCACCAACAAGCTGGCAGCCTGTCCTGTAATCTCTTGTACCAGGAGTCATTCTTCTAATCTTCTCACAGACAAAGGTAGGCTTAACATGATTGACTTGTTGAAGATAGCCTGGGTGCTTGAGGGCGGCAAGCCATTGAGGTTGTTTGGACAATTCTATCTGTAAATATATTGTAATAGTTAAAATAAACATGCTTGGTTAAAGTTATATAAAGTAAGCATACTAGTTCTGGTATCTAGAGAATGCAATGGAAGATTAGATTAGAAAAAGATGAATTGCACAGAAGAGATTCATTGGGGAATTATAATGTTAATACAAGCAAGTTTTTGGCTCCCCATCTGGCCATACACTGATTGGCAGCATCCCTGTTCAGCTGCCAAAATTGTCTCCTTCATCAAAAGTCGATGACAAAGGGATGCCAGTGGTCTGAATGCTAAAGCTACCCTTAGACATTAGAAGTCAATCGTTGTATAGACGTGAACCAACCGCTCCATGGGATTTGCGGCAGCCTTCCTAAACCCGGATCGTTGGCTCAGTTGGATTGAGAGACTGGCATCCGATGTCTGTAGGCACTTTTAACCCCTTGCTGTTCGCCCATTGTAAAATTACAGGTGGACAGCGCATCCTTCCTGGCGGGTGAACGTACATGTACGTGATTATTGTTTTTATTTTTGGGAATGTGTACAGCTGTTTCATACAAGCTATCGGCCGTCTCTATAGCCGGCCGATCGCTTGTATAGCCTCACATGGTGTGGCATCGAAGCCCACTCCGCTGCCAGTTATCCCGGGGACCGCTGTCCCCCCCTGCAGTGCCCGGGACCTAGAAGACCGGCTCAGCGGCTGCTCGTAGAGAGAAGGAAGAGAGATCAGCATTTCCCCCACTACTGATCTCTCCTCCTTCTCTCTAAAGTCGAAAGCGATGTGTAGTACATCACTTTCGCCTTTTAGCTGTCATTTCTCTGGCTTAGAGACAGAGAACAAGCTGATAAAGCAGATCTGTTTCATCAGCTTCTTTGGGGGTCCCTAGGTGACATCAGGGGTCTTGGGGACCCCTGATCTGTCCATAAAGAGGACCTGTCATTTTTTTTCTAGCTATTAGATTGGTGGCTTTTTAGCTCCCTATGTGATGGCAATCAAGTTAAGTGTAAAAAAAAACACCAAAAGTTTTAAGGCCCCCGTGTGCACGCAGTTATACACGTAAATACGCATCGGGTGCGCCTATGTGCAAAAACAACGATTACGCCAGACATGTTACATATCGCTTTTTCATTATATAGTAAACAATTAGAATACCCAGTGGTGATTGAATACCACCAAAAGAAAGCTCTATCTGTCACCAGAAAATGGTTTAAAATTTAATTTCAGTAACTCATTGTATGAAGAATAAATATCAGTCAAAGTGCCGCAGCGCTGAATACTGAAAAATGGGCGGGACAGGAAGGGGGTTTAACACCCCGGTCAGCAAGGGGTTAATGACATACTGGAAGACGGTGGCCATTTCTGGGGTGTATAATGCTGCTGAAAGCGAGAACGATGAGTGCCTGATATCACCAGCTGTGTAAAGTCTTCTTTTTTCTATTGGTGTCTTTTAGTTTGGGCACTTGTATTCGACACAAAATATTTGTCCCATGATCCACTCTGATTTGAGCTCTGGGCAGATGCGTCCTCTCACATAGAAGAATTGACAGCCTAGTTTGAGTCTCCTGACAATCGCCATTTTGTTTCTCTCGCGTTCTGATTTATTTTTTAGCACATTACATGCAGATACCAGCTCAGCCAGTATGTTTTTTAATGGCCATGGAGCAGAGGGTTCTTCTGACTTTTACTTCGATGGACACCTGTATGGAGTTTTCTCACATGTTGTATTGTGTTCTGTATGTGGAATTGTCACACCCCCCCAAACCTTTCTTCATTCCTGACTCAGACTCACAAGGTCAGTCTGCCTTCGTGTTTGCCCAGCGCACACCGTGATTCATTTATATTTTCAGCTTTACAAGCAGATAATGCAGCTGTGTTCCCATAGATAACTTGGTGTTGTGTTTGGCACCAGTTTTGTTTTGGTCTTGACGAGAAGTTGTTTTAGGGTGTTTTTTGATTGTTTTCATTGAGCTGCTGCTTACTTTACCCTGAGAAAGTACAAATACCATTTTCTCTCGGTAACACAAGATTTATTTCGGTTTTGTTGTCTGCATAATCTAGAACTTACAATACCCAGTGTCAAAGAATGGCCACATAATACAACCTCACTACAATCTTATATCATTAGCTCTTAAAGTGGACCTTTTACCCACATTGACTAAGATTTACATCAGCACACAGCTCTGCATGCTGATATGAAATCATCTTACATTCGTTATAACCCCTTCATGACTGAGCTAGTTTTCAGTTTCTGTTCATAAATGACTGACACACTTTTTACATTTTTGCTGTGTGATTCTTCCACAGCAGTAATATACTTTCTTACTAAATGTGCCCACACATATTGTATATTGTTTTTTTAGAGGACAGATAGGGCGATATAATTATATCACATATATGTACCTAACCCCTCACTTAGTTTGAATAAAATAAAAAAATTAGGAAAAAAACTAGAAGAAAACACTTTTTTCACAAGTTTTGATTATTATTTATTTTAATAATAAAAACATTTTTATTATTAAAAAAATCATAAAAATTTTTTGGCTATTAGTCTGCTCCAAACTTAGGAACAGCTAATAATAACCTTAGAGACTGATCCTGACTTTAGTCAGATTTCAGATCTCACTAAAAGCTCTTTGATCGTGCCTAGACGATCAGAACGGATACATTTCACTCAAAAGATATACATTGTATCTTTTTAGTGAAATGTATCTAAACATCGGGCTCTCCAGCTGTCAAAACAAATAGCAGAGAGGTGAGTCACTGCTACCTCTCTGCTATTTTCAGCTGTCAAATACAGGATCGCAAATTGCGGTCCTGTATTTGCATGCAACGGCTTCATTCTTTCATGAAAGGAAGAAGCTTTTACAAAAAGCTTAATTATTTCATTAATGAATGTCTCAATACTGAGGCATTCATTAATGACTGGTAACTGCTGAGAATCAGCTGTTACCAGCATTACAAAGCCTGATATAACATCACATACAGTGTACGTGGCTAGTCATATAGGCACTTCGTGATGGGACGTACACTCTACGTCTCCCGTCTTAGTTTCTTTTTTTCCACTTCCTGGTCAACTTAGCATAAATGATGTAATTGTGCCCAAGCATTGCATCCTGGGAAGGTTACATCAGCAGAGCATTGCTGGGAAATCTCATCTGTAATCCCACGAGGTCTCGGATAAAGGCATTTTCCGTCTCGCCCGAGATTATATGCATGGTTACGTCCTAGTCACATGTGCCAGAGTTCCAGGAAGTAGAGTGAAATCTAGTAACCTACCATTAGTTAACATGGCCAATGTTAGAAGAATGTGGAGGGGAAAAGAACAGAATTTGCACTACTCAGAAGATGCAAAAGGTGTTAACGTGTAAAACATTCATGCATGCATGTTAAAGCTCCTAATCCAACACGTCCATCCAAACGCACATGATGTCAGTTTTTAAAAAAAAATTGCTAGAAGTCTTGAGACCTGAGATGCTTTATTTATTCCCTTCCACCCACCACTTCGCTAAAAGTTTGTAAGGGTCACTCATCACAGTCATGGGCCAGTAGGGTGGTAGTAGGACACTGGGCCAAAAAAACAGCTTTATCAGTGATTTGAGATTTATTTTAGGGCTCCTGAGCTGTTCCTAGAACAAAGCTGAACTGGGAAAAACAGAAGTGGCTGTTTTAGAAAACTAGAATGAAACTTGCCACATGCTGCATTAATAATTATGAGAAGCAAGACTATAAACAGTGATTTTCAGATGGTTTATTCAAATGCTTTCAGAGACGGTTAGCACAGTATGGTGGGTGTTTTGTTGTGGTGGGTTTGAGCAGTGTAGGTTGCGGGATTAAAGCTAAAGCAATATTGCTAGAGAGGATTTCCTGATGGGAACTATTGAGGCTAATTTCATTGAATGGATCTAGCCAAAAGGATAATGCTACAGACTTAGGCGGCCTAGTCCTTCAATAAGTAGTGGTGAATTAGGCAGTCTGTCGTCATAGTAGATGGGGGGGGGGGATCCCTGATCA